AACTGGAATGTGGAGATATTCTTTTGTCAAGTCTGTGAAAACTGACTTCTGCTCTCATCTTCAGGGTTTCCATCTTCAACTTTCTGTACTTTACAAAATTGTGAAGGGCCTTGATGTCTAAGAGAGCTTTCCAGTCCTTGCTCATTTTGGAAACTGAAGTGTATGGCATACACAATGAAGAATCTTTGAGGAGATGGTACTGGCTCCATTGCCTCTGTCTGTACTAAAAGATGTACCACATCCAGGGCATCTCACCTCCTGAGGGGGGCATGATGAGATAGGAGCCATGAGAGATCAGTTGGTAGAGTGCAGAATGCTATGGCATAGCCCTGATAAACAGCCCAGCTGTTGGTGGATGATTTTAGAATCCCTGGCAGAATTGCTACCCTGCCACTGGCAGCTGCCTGAAAGCAATGTCATTGTTGGCATTGTTCGCCTTTTTTATTGACTCAAAATAATTGTTGCAATGTTGCAAGCTGGGCATTGGATTTGTAGTTCTGTCTGGGTCTTGTCCAGGTGATGTTTCTGTAGTCTCCATGAAATCAGGGGTGGGGTGGGGGATGTTCCTGTGGTTACAAAAAGAATTTGGAAGCTGTTTCCTTTCTTATTTCTACCTTCTCACTTAGCAAAGCAAGTTGTGACCTTCTTTCTAATCATTGGTTTCAGCCTGAATGGCATCCAGATTATCACCAGAGAATTTATCCCTAAAGAATGGATAAGAGGTCACACTGGATTTGGATATCTCGTGTACAGCTCAGTTTTTGGGCTACAGGTTTTGACAGGCACCACTGCTTAACAAAATCCATGTAATAGCTTTTACTAGGACAAACCAAGTTGACACAAAAGAGCTCAAAAGCTTGCACAACATTTTGAATCAAACTGGTTGATCCTAATAAAAGGGATCACATAGGTTTTGCTCTTGTGTTTGACTTTGTGTGGACCAATACAGCTGTATAACTTTTTTGTTTTTAACCGCTGTTGAGGCCATGGACCTTGAGGAAAACTCCAGGCTGGTATCTGCCATGAAGCCCGTCGCTCTCTCTCTCTCTCTTCTCTCCAGATAGTTAGAGAGCCTCTCTTTCAAGTCTGAATACTTGTTTAAAAGTAGTCATGGTCCATATGAATAATGTTATCAGAGAGACCTCTGCTGGAAGCCCTTATGGCACGGGTCATAGCTTCATGAGAACTGCAAAGGGCTGAGTCAGTTTCTATACATGGCATTCTCTTCTGCATCCCCACTGATGTCCAAGCCTATGGCCAAACCTACAGTGGGAGGATTACCCACAGAAGCATTGGTTAAAGGACTGCCTACTCCCTTACAAACTTACTTGAAAACTACAATCATCTTCTAATGCCCTCCTTCAGGTGCCCCCACCTTCTGAGAAGGGGTGGCAACTTAGTGGGCAGCAACTCGGGAGAGGGCCTTCTTGGAACTCTTTCCTCAGACACACCTGTCCTTTTCTGTTTCCATCTTCCACCAGCGGGTGAAGACTTATTTGTTTCATCTGGCATTCCCTCAAGCAAAGGCCTTCCTGCCCTATCTTTTAATTGCTGTTATTATGTATTTATTTTTTTAAGTTCTTTTATACCCTGCCTTTCTCTCGAATGGAGACCCAAAGCAGCTTACATCATTCTCCTCTCCTCAATTTTATCCTTACAACAACCCTGTGGGGTGGGTTAGGTTGAGGGAGCATGACTGTCTCCTTGAGCATACATGGGATGAGTGGGGATTCTAACCTCGGTTTTCCAGATACTAGTCCAACA